CAAGTCTAATTTTTCTTTTAAGGTTATGCAGTTGTGTATAATGTAATTAGACAGGTGCTTATTTTTTCCTTAAAATGTGCTTGAAAAGTGCTTATAGGTGCTTATTTTTTTAACTAAAATGTGGCTATGAACCCTGGGTTTAGTTATGGGTATTATCTTGTGTATACACAAAAATATGGCAATTCTACTGAATATTGAAACCAAAGGTGTTAATATCAGAAAGTATCAACAATTTATTAGAAGCTCTTATTTTTTTATTATTGGGTTACTTACTGAACCAGGTACCCTTTGGCCAACATTAAAAAAATTTCACCAAGCTGATACATCAAGGGCAAGGACAATTTTCAAAATGTAATTTTGTGAAGAAGTAGCAGATCTGTAATATTTCAAATTTAAGAAGCAGGAATTAAAAACGAAACAAATGTAAATTAAAATTTATATTTAGTTTGTTTCTTAATCTGCTGTCTGTGGTTCTTGTATTATTTCCATACTTCCTGGTTTCATGAAATAGGAATTAAATAAATTAAAAATTTGTCATTCATTCTTTGAAAAATAAAATTCTTCTAATGTAACTAATCCATCAACCCTGTTCTACTCAAGAATACTTCTCATAATTTAATTTTGCAAATGACTAAAAGAATCTCAAATTAATCAACTACTCATATTTAAATTAAAAAAAGTAATTCAAATGGATGTTGTGGTGAAGTGGGTGATTTCTTTTCATTTTTATGAAAAGACCTAGACTATGATTTTCTTATGGGAGGGGGCTAAGAAATAAAGCTGCAACGGATTTTCACTTTTATGAGCAAAGATAACTTGTGAAATAGTGGTGGATCTAATTTTTCAAATGTTTATTCAGAAATCAATCTGCTTTTGTTTTATCCAGTGACAGAAATTGGTAATTTTGAGTTTGGGAGAATGTACGTTTGCTTTTTATAAGCCTGAAAACATGAAATCTTAAAAAAAAAAAAAAAAAAAAAGTGTTAAATTTAGCTCATATTTTGAGTGCAAATTAATATTATGAGAATGTGCAGCATGAAAAAGTTTTTTAAATTCAGCATTTAAGTAAAGAACTTTTCTGAAGAGTTGCCATAAATATACAACATCAGAAATAAATAAAATCTACCCACGTTTGGCATTTTATTACTGTATTGATACTTTCCGACTTGAAAGATACTTTCTTCTGATGATAGTTGCGAATTTGAAAGTTTTCGGACATCGCAAACTAAAGGTGAAATTTTCCAGTTATTGGATTTTGTAAAGAAATGTAAAGAAGCGGTAATAAATGAAGATGATATAACAGAAGTTTTTTATTGTGATGACAATGCCCCAATCATCAATCAATTATGTGTGATTATCTATTATGAGCAGTATTGAATGGTGGCTGGATAGCCAGGAATGTTTGATAAAATGGAACTACCACAAACTGTCAGTTAACTTTCTGCTGAATAGAAAGGAACATTATATTAGTTTCTGCATGGAGAAATAAATATGTAATTTTTATATCTACAATGAAAAAATTATTTCAATGCATATTAATCTCTGCATGCAGAAATAAATATGTAATTTTATCTCTGTATATCTACAGTGACAAAATTATTTCAATGCAGAATATTGAAAGATCCATTGTAAAACACAGTGCTCTCTATAAAAAATTTGATGAATAAGAAAATAATAACATGCACTTGATATAGTTTTGCTAGTTATTTTGATGATGAGTTAGAGAGGTCAGTTTTTGAGATACATTCATATTACACTTAGATCACTTATGAATGATCTTTCAATAAGAACAATGTATTGTTGCGTTCAATGGGTTTGTGGATTTAGAGTGATTGATGACAACACTCGATAAAGAATCAAAAACACAGTTTATTCGCCAGGATTTCACAAGAGAGTTCCAAAGAAACATTTACAATCATAAAAAAACTACTATAAACACATTGAAATAATCAGCAACACAGCTGTCCAGCTATCAGGCTAAAAGGGTGAAGATAGCTTCATGGCAAAGCACTAAATACAGTTCCCGACTCGGTTGATTGCTCTCGGAACTCAACATACTCAAGATTCTCTTCACTTTAAAGTTCTCAATATACTGCTACTCCACATACAAGCAGGGTTTATACAGTACAAAGTCCATGAGCTGGACGTCCATTATCCGGAATAATCTATAATCCGCACCTCCAAGCCACGAACTTTTTTTGTATGCTTTACGCATGCACGTTGGGAGGATGTGTCTCCAGATACGTTAAAAAATGTTTGGCATAATTTATGGCCAGCTACCATATTTCATGGTGAGGACGATGAAGATGATAGCTGCGAATTTGAAAGTTTTTGGACATCGCAAACTAAAGGTGAAATTTTCCGGTTATTGGATTTTGTAAAGAAATGTGAAGAAGCTGTAATAAATGAAGATGATGTAACAGAAGTTTTTTATTGCAATGACAATGCCCCAATCACCAATCAATTAACGGACGGCAAAATCTGTAGTATGGCTGTAGATCCAAAAAATACCGCTTCCGATAGTGAAGAAAGTGACAGGGAGGTTATTGAAAACGGAAAAATTTTGATTGACAAGTTGTCCGTATTCTCGACACAGCAACTACAGGACTTGAACAGTGGAACTTTGTAACTGAACAAGAAATTATGTCTGTTTATAGAATTAAAGAGAAAGTATTAGCACAAAAACGAAGTAACTTAAACAACTTACATTGAAAGAAATGTTTAATAAAGTAAACAAATATTTTTTTTTTTTTTTTTTTTGTAAATTTTGATACCCTTTAGATCTTAATTGCTCTTTATTTCATAAATTACGGTTTCATATTTTTAATTGTGTAATTTCTGCATGCCATCGTACCAGATTTAAATTGATGATCTATAATCCGGAAAACCCCCTAATCTGGAATCGCCAAAGTCCCGACGAGTCCGGATTATGGACTTTGTACTGTATACCTTTTGGCCTGCCTTTGAGAACATTCTGGGGCAAACTAGTGAGAATTTCATTCTGTTCTTCATTCAATTTTGCCTCTAAATAGGCGACTGCCTTTCAACATAGTCCCTGTCTAATTTGATACACTTTAGTCAGTACTTGGTAGGTGCACAGATAGTGCAGGAAACATTTTTCTAATGGGCGTGGAGCCACCTTCTACATCATGAATTAAATCTCATCATCATTCTGAAATACTACTGTCTTTAGAAGGATATCCAGCTGTGATTTCCAGTGATGGTAGCTTTCAGAAATACTTCATCGTTAACCCCAAACTGGTAGAGAAAATGTAGTGATGTGCTTTACAAGTGTTGTTATGTCTTTCTTACATTTCAGGTGTCAGTTCCTTACATATTCATTTTGTACACACTTTGTGAAATTTTAGTTTGCCATGACTCATGATGGACAATTTATCACTAACACCAACTGGTTTCTATCGTAGTGTTGTGCATCAATTTTTTCATATCACATTTTGTATGATTGCAGTATTATCGTCTATCATTGCCAGATCTGGACAATAAGAATTCCTCACACTAATGATCCTAGTCTTCATCTTCAGAGTCTCTTCATCTGTTTCTGTGAGTTGATACATCCGTCGTGCTAAATTATCATCTGATGATGAACCCCTATAGGTGACACTTCTTTGCTTAAAATCTCGCACTTCACCATTTTTACTTAATACAGCATTGCAAGGAACTACTATCTCATTGAACCATTTCTCATATTCACATGCATGCTGCATGTGAACATTATTGTTGTGTAGTGGTAGTTGAAAGTCAGTCTTAGGTATATCGGATACAACAATGATATCAGTTATACACATTATTTTTAATGTAATTTTAAACTCAGTAATCTAATATAAAATGTGTAATGTGAAAAATTAAGAGAGTTTACAAATTATGTCTATTTTTATGAAAAGTATTGAGCCAAAGGGGCTAATTATGTCCTCGAAAAATTGTGAAATATTCAGAGTCAAATACGTAAATGTACACATGCATGTGTGCAGAGCTGTGATTGTGGTGGGGATATAAGTACACAAGAGGTTTTTGGCTATTTGTGTGTTCATATTCTTTCATGACATTTACTGCGTTTTTCACAAGAGTTGGATCAATTTTATAAGGTGTTTAGTAAAATGAGTAGCCACTAACCTATGAAAGACAGAATGAGATGAAGAATTGTCTGCATCAGAGATAGGAAGCTGGACAGTCACAAGCAGAATGTCAAGTGTCATCTGTATTTGTAGAAACAGTTTCAGGACACTAGATCCATATCAAAAAGACCTGAACAAAATCAACCAATATATGCAACAATGAATGAGGATCCTTATTTGATGCTTTCAGCGTGGCAGCACAGGACTGCTACAGCTTCACAGCTTCCACATGAGCTGTATGCTGCCACTGGAACCCGAGTTTCATGTTCAGCAGTTGCTCCAAAGTTCAGCGGTTGCTCCAAAGTGAGATAGGGATGTATGCAAGAAGACAGGCTGTTTACATCCAGCTCACTGTGGCATACAAGAGAGCACATTTAACATGGTGTAGACAACATATGCTGTGACTAGATTTCAGTCATATACCATGCTTTTTGCAGATGAGTTAAGATTCAGCCTGGACACTGATTCTCGGTTTACCTGTACCTGCAGAGAAACTAGTACACAATACCATCCCTTCCTCATCAGGGAAAGGGATCATTATAGTGGTGGAGGTGTAGTGGTTTTGGCAGGCCTTATGTTGGAAGGCTGCACATTTCTGCATATGTTTGATAAATACTTCCTGACTGCTGTGAGGTATAGAGAAGCAATCTTAGAGCCCTATGCTTGACTTTTTAGGCATGCAGCTGGTCCTGGGTTCCTATTAATTACCGACAAGGCTCATCCACATTGGGCTCAGCAAGTTGATGATTACCTGGAAAGTGAGGATGTTTGCTGCATGGATTGGCCAGCCAGATCTCCTGACCTTAACCCTATGCAGCACGTCTGATTTGTCCCCCTCTGAGGACCATCCTCGAGTTGAAAACTACCTTCTGCAGGAGTGGGATCGACTGCTTCTTGTCCAGTATGCAATCACTGCATGACCTGTCTGGCTGTGAGAGGGGATGCTTAGACTCATTTTCAGCTCAATATCACAGCATGGATTTTAGACATCCCTGCACTATGACCTTTGCTGGTAATCATGCATACATAAAATGACTTTTGAATGATACATCTTTTTCTGTGTTATAAATGTAATACCAAATTTCATTAAAATCTATGAATTAGTTTTGCTGAAATTCAACATAATGGGTAAATTCTCTTAATTTTGCACACTATTTGTGCATAATGTACATGTGTGTATATATATATTACTAATACTACTGTTAATAACAATGTTTATTTCTAACATGAATACAGGTTGTGAGAATTTATTTAATTTACTGAACAGTTAATTTTATTTTGAAGCAACCTTTCCTATCGCTCTTGCTTTCAACTCACACTTTCTTGCCAGAATATAAATGAGTTAATGCATGTGTGTTCAAATGAGGCAGAAAGAACTAAGTATTTAAGGGAAGGCTTTAGAAGGTAAATTTAGAAGAGTTTCAAATGAGGTAGAAAGAAGTAAGTATTAAAGGGAAGGCTTTGGAAGGTAAATTTAGAATGTGTTCTATCTGACTGAATGTCACATTCCTATCTTTGATTTACTAGGGATTAGATTTCTGTAACACTGAGCTCTTCTTACCACTAGGCTTGTTTACCCCGACTTTTGCGAGTCAAAGCCAGCCTGCATATTAAGTAACATGTGAAGCTGTTAGGAAAAACTTAACTTCATTTGATTTAAAGTTACTTGTTACCTTTTTGAGTGAAGCCAAAAGTGTTGTCATTTGAAAGCACGAGTCGGTGCCATCTGTGAATTTTAAATTGAGTTAATAAGGAGTTCTTATGTCTAGTTAGTTTATGTTACTCAAATGTACAAGATGTTATAAGGTTTTCATAGTATGTTGGGTAAATTACAATGTTGGATTAACAAAGTTAGGATAATTCAGCCTAGAATGTTTGGTATGACTATAAAAATTATAATTCCAACTTTAATGTTTAATAAGGCTATCAGATTTTAACATTCACAGTTTTTCTTTTATTATTTTATAATAAGCTATACAGTATTGTTGCCAAGAGTTTTTTTTCTAAAATTTAAAATGATAGTATAATAATTATTATTTTGTATGATGTGTGAAAGATCTCAATCCATTTTGTTAAGTTATTTTTATAAGGGCCTTAATTCTATAGATTTTTTTGTGTATGATTTTTTATGATGTGTGAAAGATCTCAATCCATTTTGTTAAGTTATTTTTATAAGGGCCTTAATTCTATAGATTTTTTTGCAAGCATATTAAAAACTGTTCAGTATCTAGATTTAAAAATAGAATTAATTAAATGTTTGCTTATAACTGTTATGCTGGTTTTAACAGTTTATTAATATTTTAGGGGTTGAACCTTGGCCTGAAGATGTTAAACTATATCAACCTTTTGAAGGTAAATATTTCATTTATTCTTTTATTTTTCAAACATTGGTTAGTTAAATTGATTCAGTTTATGAGCAAAAAATTCTTTTTAAAAAGTTTCATTTGTAAATGAGTTAAAAATATGTTTGATAATTTGTGACAATTATATTAATGTTTTTAACCTATCATTCATTCAATTTCTTGGTTTTAAAATAATCATTAATCTAATTCAGAAGATTATGAAAATAATTGCTGTGCAAGAATAAGATTAAATACTGTGATTCTTATGCTGACCCCTAGGAAAATTAGTTTTATCTCGGAAAAAATGCTTATTATTGTTTGGAAGCTGTAAATTTAAAACCATATTTTTAGGGTTAAATAGAAGTTTAACTTCAAGAGATTGAAGTTTCAGGCGACAGATTGATTGAACAGTTAGAATCGAGAATTAACAGCTGTAAGTCAGTATATGTGTTTGCAAATTGGAAAATTTTTTAATTTTTCATGGTACAATAGTTTAAACGCACTCTGTGGTTCAAATAAACTTTCAGTTACTGTTATTTATTAGCTTTGAAAGTTCTGCATTTCTAGTCTAGGGCATAACTCATCCTGATACTGAGAATTTAGATCAGCTATTAGGTTAGCTGACCATTTGATAAGTACTAAATTTTAACCTAAAAGTTATAAACTATGTAATTTATAATAATTACAAAATTTTATTCTATTTCTTAACATCAAATGCTATAGAAATCAAAAGTTCTTTTATTTGGCTACATCAAATTTACAATGGATAAAGCCATAAAAAATCCATGTAACCAGCCTGTCTGCTTGGATTGAACCCAAGTCAAACTACTAGTGTTCAGCAACTTTGCCACTCAGCTGCTGGTGGGCAGGAATCAAAAGAATGTTAGATTATTTATAATTGTAAGTTTGAAATATAATATTTACATGCTTTTTGGTGTAATAACGGGTGAAAATAATTCTATTAATAACATTGAAATATATGATTTGTGCCATTGCAAGACCTTATAAATGCATATTATAAGCTGTTTCTTCCAAATGTTTGCAGTCTAGCCAATCTAAAAACAATTGCTTAATCCGTGTTCTACCACTATTTTTTTTTTTTTTTTCATGTAGACATAATTTTTAATGCTTTTTAGTTGTCTTTTATATATAAAATATTAGGCATCATCTGCTGAACTCTTCGAGATAATTTCTGATTATTCACATCCCCATAAAAAAAGCCCAGAAGTTTTGATGAGTTAATGCACCATGTTACCCAAAAATATTTATGCAGAAACTCACCATGTTACCCAAAAATATTTATGCAGAAACTCACCATGTTACTAAAAAATATTTATGGGGCAACCCAAGAATGCATTTAGCATCATCACCTTTTCTTGTCTCTAGGTATTTTTGCTAATAATACTGCAGATTATAATCCCTCCTATGGGAATTTCAGTATAACAGTGGTTTCCATAAGGTAGTTTTTGTTATCTTCTTTGTTTACAAAATCTCGGACCTAACTTTTAGCACAGAGAGAGAGTAATGTAGCCTACTTAAAGGCATTGCATGACCTCTTTCTTCCTTCTCATTTTAGTACTTTGATGCTGTGTTAGGGCCAAGGATGTTAGAATACATGGAGATGCTCTACACCCTGTCCAAGTGAAGTCAAAAGGGGTAAAGCATGCCCTTAGTAGTCGCGGCTTAGAAAGATAGATGTGCTCTTTAGCCAGTGAAGCAGAAGCTAACCACGCCCAGTTTCATTAATGTCAGATATAAATAAAGACCACTGATTCTTTACGTCATTTCATTTTATTTCTCCATTATATAATTGTGATAATTTCTACATTATCTAATTCATGCTATCAGTAAAAGTATTGTGAACAAAAAAATAGTAACTAAGTATTTAAACCATAAATTGATTATACTTTAGTTGCTCTAAATGTATATAATTCTCTGATTTTCCATGTTATAAATACTACTTATATTTTGAAATAAAAAACTTTAACTTGACTGAACAATGATAAAAAAAGTATTTAAATTCTGCATTCTTATTTTTAAAAATTGCACCATAAATTTGACTTTTGCATGACATTTTTCTTTTGCATGAAGAACTAACTCCCCCCCCCCAGTTTACTTACCGTTTTTCTTTCACAGCTGAATTAATTATAAGAATAACATTTATTATTGTTATGCGAAGAAAAATCTGAGAACTGTGTATGTTTTTTCATGCTCGTTACTCCTAGAAAATACTCAAAATCTTTATTGACGGTTTTTTAAACACACATTTCAATTATTCTACTTATTTATGTATGTTTAAAAACATTCTTTTACACAGGAATGAAATCTGTAAATGTAGACATTATTTCCTTGTAACAATTCAGTACCTTTTAGTTCTCTCTTATCTTCAGGTAGTAAATACGAAAACATCCGAACAGCATTTTCCTACCCTTATGTGGCGTGGCTTATTTGCTTCCTTCAGCTTCACTCTCCTCGTACTGCGATAGCAGAAACATCATCACCATGTAGTCTAACCACCTTGGTTAGGGCAATCCTCTGTCTTTTTTTTTTTTTTTTAATCAGATACAGGTTGCTGTGTACATGATAACAACAGTACAAAATAGAGAAGTGTGCATCTCTTGTTTGAAATAGATCGTCATTGAGATAAATGTAAAGATACCAAAAAAAAAAAAAAAAAATTTCTTCAAAGTCAGCAGTTCGCGAAAGCTGTCCAAAGTCATCAACAAGTTAGCGACTTTTCGATGGGGAAGCAAATAATCAGAAAGTATCCTGAAATTATTACATTCTTTAATCATTTTAGTGCATGGAGTTAATTGTTTATTTAATTGGCTTTGAAACCATATATTATTCATAAAATCTGAGGCTGTATTAACTACTATTTAAAATTAGTAAATCCTTAAAAACTAGGTTTGATTGACTTTATTTAGTAGCAGCTGGTGATTTTTGTTATTGGTATGAAATTTAGTTGAGAAAAATTATAATAAAGAAGTTTCATTAGCTATGATCAGCAATTATAGATGGTCAGTAGCAAATATAGTAAGTAAAATATAGGATATAATAGGAATATACTAAAAAAACAGTATATAGGTAATAGATGTTCATTTGGGGATAGAATTTTGATTGTTTAAAATTTTTTTAAAAAATTGTTAAGTATATCTTAAACTGGAAATGAATCATAAATTTCTTTGACTGTGTTTATAATTATGTAATTTCTTTTGTTCCAGTTGAACAAATTCTTTTACCAGATAATGCAGCCTGTTTAAGTGTAAAAGCCTTTTTAAGAATGTGTAAACTGAACTTCCAAATTGAAATGCGAACTAATGCTGAGAGCATGTCTCCTTCTGGTATGATAGCACTTTTCATTGGTTGAACTGTTTTTAGCTAATTTTGACATTAATATGCAATGTAATGTTCTCTATAAAACAGATTTAATTTACATTCATTAAATCTGCTGGCTCCACATGAAAGCAAGCTAATATTAAAAATTTTGATACCCAACTTCAGATAATCATGTATTTTAGTAATTATTATCACTTATATTGATAATTTTATACATTAAAAAAAAATTAAACCTTCCTTTTTTTTTTTTTTTTTTTAATATTGTCACATGAAAGCTTTGTAGCATCAGTAGTTGTAGTGATAAAGTGAAAGGTTATCCAAAATCAGTATGAAATAAGAATAAAACTAAATCAACAAAAGTAGTAAACTAATCTGAAGTGGTATTTATTGGTGTGCTCAATAAATCTTGGTGTTACACACACAGTGTCTCTGCACTGGGCACTGTGGGTAATCACCGTACCTTCCCTTAAAGTCACTATTGTCTGTAATCCAAGAAGTTGTTGCAAGCATTTACTTTTTGTATCATGCAGCTCTGAAAAATTTGGTATAAAAAATAACTATAGTACATGCGTAACGTTAAAATGTTTCCAAAAGAGTTTACATATCTTCAATCTCTGTTTTGTTGCAGGCAGTGTTCCATTTATTAGATGTGGGACATTTGTAGTTGCTGATGTTGAGCCTATTATTAATTTTGTACATTCAAAGGTAAGAAATTATTTTCTGTTATGGTGAATGTAATTTGAGTTGTATTATATTTAGCTTTTAAGCTTTATTTTTATACTAAATTTGGAGCAAATATTTAGAGAGCGCTTAGCATCATCTCTGTTTGATAGGTGGTGTAAAAACAGTGAAAGTTCTGCTTTTAAATGGTATTGATAATATGTTGAGTGTCGTAATTTAATCTAAAATTGAATATATATTTATAAATCCATGATTATTGAGCATTTATATTTTTTGTGTTATATTCATTATATATGAAACCCAGTACTTTCATTGATCCTGTATTATTTTCTCATTTGTGTTTTCTGCTTATAGGCTTTTTATTGATAATACTAATTGCATTCCTGAAGTCAATTTTTAAAAATAAATTTCACTTATATACAGGGTGTTTCACAGATCATGGGACAAACTTGGAGGGGTGATGGAGCATACTAAAACATGCATTTTTTTATAGGAATGTAGATGGGTTAGGCTGGAACACAAAAAAACAACAAGAGGAAAATGCGTTTATGTACAAAATCAGCGCAAAGTGCTTCTTTGTAGCAATGCAGTATTCACAATAAATGTTCAAAATTGCGACCACCAGCAGTAATACATGCTTGGTAACGTTGCAGAAGGGATTGACGAACATTTTGAAAAATGACAGGAATTTCGCGCACGCTTTTAGCCGCAATGGATAGTCATGCAACGAGATCCTCTAGTGAGTCAACGGGAGTCTCGTAAATTATGCTCTTCAGATGGCCCCATAAAAAAAATCCAAGCTGAATAAATCTGGCAAACGGGGTGGCCATCCAAGTAATTGCAGACCCACACGTGGTTATGGGCTGGTGCACCATCATGCTGGAACCACATGCGATCACGAATGACAGCCGGAACATCCTGCAGCTGGTAGCATCTTTTGTAGAAAAATATGATAACATTTTTTAAGCCGTTTGTACATGCAGGTAAGAGGTATGGGTCTATGAGGTAGTCGTTAACAATCCCCTCTCACACATTCATGGAGAAGAGGGTTTGGAATGCATGTGGATGTGTGCAGTGTGGATTATGAGTTGCCCAGACGTGCATGTTGTGGCTATTGAAGATGCCGTCCTGTGAGAAAGTTGCCTCATCCGTGAATAGCAAATCTCATGGGAAATCCGCCTGCGCCGCACACTGCTGCAAGAACCAATGACAGAAATGAACTCGAAAAGGGTAATCTGTCTCTTGCAAGGCTTGGACTTTCTGTAAATGGTATGGGTGCAAACCTTTTTCATGCAATACTCTCCAAACGGTGGAATGACTTAGCTGTAGACGACGTGCAATAGCTCTTGTACTTGTCTGAGGTGATTCATGCACAATGTTCAAGATGGATTCTTCAATGCGAGGTTGTCGTGCACTTCTTCTACTTCTAGTGTCAGAGGTGGCTTCAAATGGTTTTCACACAGAGACCTATGCAACCTCTCGAACATTGTGTGCTTTGGCATACACCTGTTGGAAAACCGTTAATGGTACAACCGTAGAGCTGCTCTGCCGTTTCCATTAGCAGCACCGTACATGAGATTCATGTCAGCTTTTTCCTTGTGCGTAAACTCGCCCATCACACTCGACATCAGAGTTGCGAATGATCCTCTGATGCATCGGATCATGGTTTATTCAGCTCACTACCGCCCTCTACCGCTGCAGTGCCAGCCAATCACAGCTGTAGTTCCTTTTACTGTTAGTGTTCCCTTTTTTGAACATTTATTGTGAATACTGTATTTTCCTCTCGTGTCGTTTTTTTTTTTTTTTTTTTTTTTGCGTTCTTGCTGTACTCTTCACTTTAGACCCTATTCCTATACAAAAAATGCATGTTTTAGTACGCTCCACCACCCCTCTAAGTTTGTCCCATAATCTATGAAACACCCTGTATAAAAAATTATATTCTGTTATAAAAATGCTTTGCCTCATAATTGTTTGAACTTCCAGCCACACAAATAATTTAATATTTGTGGAAGAGTGATAGATGGAATCTGTTCTCATATGCAAAACTGTATCTTGGTTGCAACAATAGTGCTGACATTTATTATCTAATCTTTATGAACAGGAGTTCATATAAGTCCCTACCAAAGTTATTATCATCATATCTATGACATAAAATTTGAGATGTGCTGTCAAGTTTTAGTAAATTGTTTGCCATGTTTCTCAAGATCTGGTGCAATCTCGTGGAAATGGTGATGTTGAAATCAAAACTAATTTAAATAGCTACAGATGTTGACTGTGGGAAACCAGTGATAATTGGCATAGATTTCATTTTAGCAGAAGCACTTTTCAGGATTCTGACACAATTGCTTTCCTCATCTTTAGCTAAATAAAAAGCAAATACTACAAACAGAAAAAGGGAATTTAGAATTTTTTAGAACATGCTGGTAGTTATCACAGTGCTGTTTACAATGAAAGGGGAAAATATTAAGAATAACTGCAGTGAAAAAAAAAAGCAACTGGTTATATATAAGAATTGAAAATGGGATCAGAAATTATCTATGTGTAGATGGGTTGGGAAAATGGTTAGAATTTCAGTTATTGACTATTACCAATAAATTTTTATGAATATGGAAAACCATCCTGAGGTATCTTGATGCTCTAGAAATATTTTAAAGAAACTTCTGCGTTTAAAAATTTATGATAAGAAGTTTTCTCATTAATGAGACTTTTCTGTCAGGTACACATTAAACCGTTTGCTTTTCATTGAATACTAAACACTATGTAACAAAAATGAATACTTGTAAAATCAGTTTTAAATCCCAACTTTTCTAACAATGAGACATGTTCTTATATTGCAATACTAAGAATTTGCATAGGATTTTCTACCTTTAAACTGAGTATGGCAAAAAGTGGTACTTTTCCGTTTTGCCGGTGCAAATGATAAAGTCGCCAATAATGGTACAACTGATTCCAAACTTAATATCTTTGCTGGTAACCTTTTACGCCTCAGTTTCAAAACAAGTCACAGCCATTTCTTATCAGATTGATTGTTTCTTTCAATGCTGGTATATAATTACATAACATTTTTACAAGATAGTTAAATTTTATACCCTAAGACAATTCGTGGTAATTAAGTCAATTAGAATGCAGTCGCACCACTCACCCAAAGGCGAGATCAAGTGTTAAATTCATCAATTATAATGAGATTGCTCTAGCGAAATAAAGCACTGCGGTTTCACATAACTTCTGAGTAAGCTATTTGTACGAATTGAAATAATTCTTTCATTTAAACTTGTATTCCAAATTAAGATTTAACTTGAAATTAAAGTAGATAATTACTGAGAGAATTAGATTCTTGTAGCGTAGTTTACGAGTAGAAATGAGATCACTTGGGGTCATGTGACAAGAACCGGTGAATCAGGATTTTGAACTATGAAAGCATAGTAGATTCTTAAATTAATGTCTTCTTAAAAATTTATTGTCTTTATTTATTGCCTTTTTACAAAATTTAAAACCATATTAAAATGTTTATGCTTTCAAAATAAAAATTCTTAGAATTAACATTAGTTAACATTTTTTATGTGTATACTGTATATTGTCGCCAATAAAGTCTGCTTGGGGAGATTTGCGCTGGCGAAATGGAAAAGTACCCAAAAATTTTCTTGTTAAGTAATGACAATAATTCTTATATTAGAAAAATGTCTTTTGTTTAACAAATACGACAATCTGGAAACCTGATTGTAACTAGAAATGATCACTTGATTTTTAATGCATTATCTGTTACAAATATTTTCAGATATCTAGAAATTTTATTATTATAAAGTTTTTTATTGTCCATATTTGCTGCATGAAAAATATATGAATGAAAACCATTCATTCAACTTGCCATGGAAAGTAAGGAAGTTGGCAACTAAGTGTTTTTAAATCTTCAAATTTATTGATTACAGAACTATCTGATTCATATATAATCCATACATATTACTTTTCTGTTTAAGGCAGTTATCAAGTCATCTAAAATATCTTCAATGCCTTAATTTTCTGTTGCATATTAATCTACTTATTTATTATAAATTCATCAGAAGGAACATTTATATTTATAATGATTCTGGGGCTCTTTTTTAAAGGAAATCATTAATTCATTTAACCCAGATGCGAGTGATAATTACTCATAAATGTTATATTTTGCATAACTAATGCAGTGCTTAACAATAAGAATTAATATGCTTACACCTTCAGAATTATTAGGCTTAATGACTTGGGTTTCTTACTGTGTCAGTCCTTGACCATATTATTAGATGCATAGAATACGATTTTATTGGGGTACGGCTTGCTGTATGTTGGGAGTAGGTAAAAAGCTTACATATTTTACTTCTACATGCTCAAAATATATCTTCAGTGTCTATAAATATCAGGAAATAATAAATGAGTTAAGTTTCGTAATAGCAGTTATCTATCTCTCTATCTATCAATCTCTCTATTTATATATACAGTAGAGTCCCGCAAACTCGACATGATGTAGACTAAGAGACTGTCGAGTTTCCGAAAAGTCAAGTTTTACGGAATTAGGGGTGGGTTTTTCAGAACTGTAAATTACATTAGACATTTGTAGCACAATATCAGACACAGAAAAGTACAGCATACAGTTAAATTATTGTTGAATTTTTTATGTCAAGTTCTAGCACAATAGAAGTCATAAAAAGAAAAAATTCTGTAAGATAATGAGTAAAAAAACTTCCTTAATTTTGCAAAAATGAAGAAAAATTATTAGTAGTTCTTGGTAGAAAAATATCATGTGATGGTAGATTGTCTCTCACACTCATTCCGTCATCATGCAACTTCATCCCGTAGGCGACGAAAGAACAAAATGTTCATACCAGATGCTCTTTGCTCAGTTCTTCACTATGGGTCATCATTTTAGCTTTTTTGTTGTCTTCAATCTCTTTGTTTTATGATTCATCTTCATTTTTATCCACATTGTCTTTCACGAGGGCAACTATTTCTGCATGTCTTAAAATTTCACAATTTTCATCTTGTCCCATTCATTCTTCAACATCACCATAAGTAACTTCTTCTCAGCCTGGAATTTTCTGAAGTCAACTATTTCACGATTTTCTGTCTCTTCTTTGCTTTCATGAAATTCATTTTCTGAATGATCCAGCACTAGCAGTAAAGCCAGGTTCTCCTTCTTGAAATTCATCATAAAATTTTAGGGCTTTCCCTTGTAAAATTGATCTCTTGAAATGGCTGTTCACTTTTCCCTTTGCTGCCTGAACCACAAATAAAGCACCTCACTCACTTTTTCGTATTCACCACCTTTCATACTTTTTCTTTCCTTTAAACTATCCGTACATGCTCTTTTCAACACACCAAGACTCGATTTCGGACCTCTTCCCTTTTTCCACCCTATCAAAGTAGTGCATCCAACACCTAAATCCATGGTATTTTGTTTACACTTTTCCCTTTGTCCAGTCTCTTTAAGGCATCTTATTTCATTTCCATTGTCACATTAGTTTGTTTTCTTCTCTTTTCAAACGACATTTTCACTTCCCAGAATATCAAAAGTTCCCCAAAATATGTTAACACTTATACATCTGGATATGAACTGAAGAACCATACCCACAATGAACTGATGTGAGTTTAATTTGCAATAAGAAGCAGTCACAAAACTTCAGGTAAGTCTCCTAATGGTTCACAACAATAGAACTTTGCCGAATATGACCAAAAGTAAACTTTCAGTTTTGTGCACCGGAAAATCTGCCTTCTTTCCTGCTGACTGAATTGCTTGTTTTTGCACGGAAACTCCAATTTTAATTGTAAAAATCGTTTTAACTGTATTTGGTGCTTTATGTTTTGTTATATCTTTCAATTTCTAATGAAGATATTTTGAGTTTTATGTATTTCTGCCTTGCTGCAAAGTGAGAACTGAATTAGTTGAATGAGAAATACATCTCTAATGAAATTCGAGGAAATAAATGTTTTGTATTAGCAACAAATATTGTCGCCAGTCTGTCTTGGACAGAGAAGAATGTTTATGAGTAGCGCATGCACATTAGGTAAGCGGCGCTGAATCGTCTGTGAAATGGAACATGTGGCAATGATTAGATAATTCTTCAGATTATATATTTTTTGTGTATTCTGAGTTATAAAATGAATGAAATGTTATGCTGTTAAGTGAACCTAGTGCCCGACTGTTGCTGTGGTAAATAATTATCGTGAATTTTAAAGAGTGCATTTATTCTATTGTGTTTTATGCGATATTGACAAAGATTCAATTCAATTAAAAAAGTTTAGATTTACTGAAGGTAACTGGTGCATAAAACCGAAGCGAGTTTCTTATGAGTGCGTTATGACATTAGACCTCTCCATTGTTGCTGATACATGCATTGTTTGATGACACTGTTAAAAGCAGTCAGTAGCAGAATATGGAAGTACCATGTCAGCTAATTTGAATCCAGATGATTTGAACTACAGTGTATTTTCAAAGAAATATTTGGATTCTTTTTAAGCTGCATTTTGTGCATGATATTTCTGAAATTTTTTATTTAAAAATAATGAAATTTAATGATTTAAAAAATTTTTGTTTTCTAGACCATATCTTTTAATTATTTTCTTTCTTTCCTAGGGCATTAATCTAAGTGCACATCTTGATCATGCTGGAATAGCAGATATGAAAGCTTATATTTCTCTTGTAAATATTGTCTTGCGTAATGCTGAAGTAAGTTTTATTTTTTTTATGTGCTAATAACAGGCTTGGAGTTTACTAATGCATCAAAATAATTATGGTACACCATTTAGTGAAAATAAATTATTATCAGAGCCAACACTAGAGTCTGTCTCCACTAGATAAAAGAAAATTTAAACATCCTTATGCATTGTTTTCTTGGTATTCTTGTGCTATCAGGACTGGTTTCAGAAATGTAAATGTATATGCATATATTTATAAATATAGGTGCTCATGTATACATCTGTATATTCTTTGCATATATATGTACAGTGTCTCACAAAAGTGATGGGACACTTGTGCTTTACAAAAGGAAACTGTAATAAAATAATTAAAAATATGTAAAAATTTTTTGTGGGTGTGTTTCTTACTTAAATTTAGTAGCAATTATTACATAACATACATTTTTCTCAAAATATTAAAATAATTATTTAATAATTATATATTAATAAAAATATTAATAATTTAATAAAAATACAATTGTTTAGAACGGAGCAAAAAATGGCTCACATAAGTGATGGGACACCATTAGATACTACTACGTACTACAATAAAAATATTTTTTTTTGGTTTTTATTTTTACTCAAAAGCAATTAGCAATAATTTATAAAATCGTCTGCAGTCTTTCTCTCCACTTTGTTTTGGAATTTTTGTGTTTTTTAGCTCTGTGCAGCCATGAATGCTAAACGAAAAGAAACTTTGCCTGAAATTCGAAAATTAGTTATTAATTTGCATATTGAACGTGAAAAATCAATTAGAGAAACTGCTGAAACAGTTAACATGAGTCATTCAACAGTTTTCAATATCATTAAACAATATAAAAAGAATCATATGACTCAGGATAAAAGAAGACCTGGCCGACCATCAAAGCTGTCCAATGGAATAAAGCGAAATATTGTTCAAAATATTAAAAAAAAAACGAAGAATGAGTGCTCCTAAAGTTGCTGCTGATTTACAAGCATTATATGGAATAATTGTTAATCCTGAGACTATTAGAAGAGTAATTCGATCTGCTGGATATCACGGTAGAGCAACCAGGAAAAAATTCTTTGTAAGTGAAAAGAATAGAAAACTCAGACTGGCTTTCGCAAAATCCAACATAAATAAGAACTTTGATTACTGGAATGAAATTGTATTTGCTGATGAGAGTAAATTTAATATATTTGGTTCTGACAGTAGAATCTTGGTGTAGAGAAAATCCAGGAAAGAATTTCGCAAACAGAACTTGGTGCCAACAGTAAAACATGGTGGAGGAGGAGTTATGGTATGAGGGTGTATGTCGTCCGCTGGAGTTGGTAATCTTGTTTTTATTAACAGTATAATGAATCAGTACAAGTATATTGACATTTTAAATCAAAATTTGAAATCTTCAGCACGAAAATCGACCCTTCATAATTATTTTAAATTCTACAAGGACAATGACCCCAAGCACACTGCTTTGAACGTTAGACTCTGGTTGCTGTATAACTGTCCTGAAATAATAAAAACGCCACCACAATCTCCAGACTTAAATCCCATAGAGAATATTTGGCAAGAATTGGAATCAAGAATTCGCAAACACACCATTTCTTCAAAACAACAATTAAAATCATTGCTTCGAGAAGAATGGGGTAAAATCACTCCAGAAATCACAAAAAAATTAGTCGAATTCATCCCAAGACGATTAAATCACGTTTTAAAAGTAAAAGGAAATCCAACAAAATATTAAAACATTTTAAGAAGTAAAATTTTTGGATAAATATTTGATGGAAAAGTAAGTGTCCCATCACTTATGTGAGCCATTTTTTGCTCCGTTCTAAGCAATTGTATTTTTATTAAATTACTATTTTAATATTTTGAGAAAATGTATGTTATGTAATAATTGTTACTAAATTTATGTATGAAACACACCCACAAAAATTTTTACATATTTTTTTAATTTATTTTACTACAGTTTCCTTTCGTAAAGCACAAGTGTCCCATCACTTTTGTGAGACACTGTATGTGTATGCACACACACATATATATACATTCATGCATGTACACATTCTTACATATATACCTTTCTGAATCTGGTTACAGAAGAGTACCGTTTTCTGTAAATGTTACATTCTACCAATAAATAACCCCTCTCCTTCCCCAAATAAATGCAAATTTTTAAAATTTTGACAAAATATTTGGTGTTAAGTAAATAAAAGGCTTGAAATAATTAATTTTTCATATGACTCGATTCGTATTTGTATACAATAATTTTCTTCTTGTACTGATATTAAGAGTGAGCATCTATATATATATAATGGATTTAAGATCGCACTAAATGGATTTAAGATCATACAACATTATATATATATATATATATATATAGCGGCTAAAGTGTGTGTCGCCGATAGTTTATTGTTGCCACTCGGCAAAATGAGTGTAGAAAAATAAACGTTTCCGCAGTTTTTAATTACCGTATTTTTCGCCGTATAAGACGCACTTTTTCTCCCCAAAATCAGGGGGGAAAAAGTGCCTGCGTCTTATACGGCAAATACAAAAGCCCACCATGGCCCTCCGCTGCCCCTCCACCTCTGCATACATATCTTACCGCAGGAATACTTGGCCACTCCGTTTCCTTCCACCTCTTGGCGCCGTCTGAGACTAGGAAGCCCCGCTCTGCCTCGCGCTGCGATTGGCTGAGCGAAGAGGCGCGTGCCTTCGCTCACTCCCGCGCTGGCTTCGTGCACTTTTTAGAGTCTCGTAAGCCAGTGCGGGAGCGGGTGAAGGCACGCGTCTCTTCGCTCAGCCAATCGCAGTGCGGGAGCAAGCGGAGGCGCGGATAGCTGTGAGCTGTGATATATGTAGTATGGTATATCTGAATGAAATATATCATATTTTATACCACCCCATCAAGATGTCGAAGCAGAAGAGACTGCCATATAAAGTTGCTTTCAAGCTGGAAGTAATAAAATTTGCTAAGGAGCATGGAAACAGAGCAGCGGAGAGACACTTTGGGCCACCTCCAACTGAGAAAATGATAAGAGGAGTGGAGGAAACAGGAGGATCAGCTCCAAAAGTTGGATAAAAGCAAGCACACCTTGCGTGGACCAACTGCACAGTGGCCAGAGTTAGAGGTAGAAGTAAAGGAGTGGATCACACGTCACCGGCAAAATGGACTTTCTGTCTCAACAAAAATGATAATCTATGGGGCCAAACGCATTGCTGTGGAGAAAGGCATTCAGGATTTCACCGGATCACCATCGTGGTGCTATAGATTTATGAAGATATCTGGCCTTTCTATGTGCACCAAAACCAGAATTGCACAAAAAATGCCAAAGGAATACTATCACACAAGCGTGTGAATGGGTTAAAAGGTCATGGGACTCCGTAAAGAAAGACATTGTTGTAAAAAAATCATTCAAGAAGTGTGGCATTAGTAATGCCTTTGGATGGAACAGAAGACGACGTCTTATTGACACCAGTGAGGAAGAAAGTGATGACAATGACTGCGTGGATCTGTCCTTCCTCATTTCTGATAGCAGCGAAGAAGAAGGAATTCTTGGGGTTAGAATAAAAACATGACAGCCTTATTTTTTGTTACTTTCACTGTTTGCTGACTGTTTATGAGAGTAAAGATAGCTCTTAGTATGTTACATGGTTGACATAAAATTTTTCTTAAACTGCTGTTAACTTTATACAGTTGATATAAAATATTTTACTACAGAATTTGGTTCATAATCTTTTTTTTTCTAGATTTGCCTCCTTTAAAATTGGGTGCGTCTTATATGCCGGTACGTCTTATACGGCGAAAAATACGGTAATATCTCGGCCGATTAAAGTCGTACGAAGATGAGAACGGTATTGATAGATTCGGAGAATTTTTTAGAATCCGAGGATACACGTCTCGACTTTCAACTCGCCGCCGTTCCGTAGATATTCGAGAAAAAAGAATTTGGCGCGTAGCCAAATCCCTCTAATAGGGAAAAACCAAGGAAACAGTGGAAAATGTAGAGGAAACGCAGAAAAAAATAGTTTTTAATTAATATCTCGGCTAATAAAAGTCCCACGAAGACACAAATGGCCAAAATGGCGTACCACGGGCCTGCAGAATCCAACGGTGTGCTTCTCTAAGTCCGGAAGCCAGCCATTTCGGAGGAGATAATGTTACTTCACCCCACATATATATATATATATATATATACCGGGTGATCAAAAAGTCGGTATAAATTTGAAAACTTAATAAATTACGGTATAATGTAGATAGAGAGGTAAAAAATGACACACATACTTAGAATGACATGGGGTTTTATTAGAAAAGCAATAATCTGATCAGAAAAGCAATAATTAGCATAACAAATTAAGACAAAGCAAAGGTGATGTTCTTTACAGGAAATGCTCAATATGTTCACCATCATTCCTCAACAATAGCTGTAGTTGAGGAATAATGTTGTGAACAGCACTGTAAAGCATGTCCGGAGTTATGGTGAGGCATTGGCGTCGGATGTTGTCTTTTAGCATCCCTAGAGATGTTGATTGATCATGATATACTTGCAACTTCAGGTAACACCAAAGCCAATAATCGCACGGACTGAGGTCTGGGGACCTGGGAGGCCAAGCATGATGAAAGTGGCAGCTGAGCACATGATCATCAACTAACGACATGTGCAAGAGATCTTTCACGCATCTAGTAATATGAGGTGGAGTGCCATCCTGCATAAAAATCTTAACATTTTTTGAACTTTTTTTTTTGGTTCTAATAAAACCCCATGTCATTCTAAGTATGTGTGTCAATTTTTACCTCTTTATCTACATTATTCCATGATTTATTAAGTTTTCAAATTTATACTGACTTTTTGATCACCTGGTATATCAGCGGCTAAAATGTGTGTTGCCAATAGTTTATTTTTGCCACTCGGAAAAATGAGCACGGAAATGAACGTTTCCGCAGTTTTTAATTAATATCTCAACCGATTAAAGTCGGACGAAGATGAGAATGGTATCGATGGATTTGGAGAATTTTTTGGAATCCGAGTATACGCTTCTCAAATTTCAACTTGGTTCCGTTCCGTAGATATTCGATAAAAAAGAATTTGGCACGTAGCCAAATCCCTTAATAGGAAAACCCAAGAAAGAAAGTGGAAAATGTAGGGGAAAATTAGTTTTTAATTAATATCTTGGCTAATTAAAGTCCCAAGAAGACGCGAATGGTCCAAATGGCGCGCCACGGACCTGTGGAATCCAACGGTGTGCTAAGTACAGGAGCCAGCCGTTTTGGAGGACATGATGTTTCTTCAAACCACATATATATATGCGACTTAAGTGTTTGTTTGTCGCCGATAGTTTATTGGTTGCTTGCGTAACTATATTAGCCAATGGGGTGAAGTTGCCACAGCACAGGGCTGCCGTTTCAATCGAGACGTAGACAATGTCCTGTAAAACTTGCCTTTGCTATGACATCAATAAGTCTCAGGGCCTAATGCTTAAGCATGTTGGCATTTTTTTACCTGAGCCTGCATTTGGACACGGTCAACTTTATGTTGCCTGTTCAAGAGTTCGTGAAAGAACGGACGTAAAATTAAAAATATTGGATGGTTCTCTGCAAGGTGAGCTTAAAAATGATGGAAAGATCTACACAAGAAATGTTGTGTACAAAGAGAGCTTTGACATGTGAATTAACATTTTATTATTTAAATCACCTTTATTGATTGAGCTAGCGGTGGGCTTTTAAGAAATAGACCGCCAGTGGTTTCCTTCATTATACTCTACTTTAAGCAATTAAGCAAGTAGAAGGGGGAAACCCCCTTGGGCAGTAAGCAGAGGTTTCGTCCTTGCCGCCTGCCCTGGGTAATTCAGTTTAAATTAGCAGACACCTTTGCAAAATATTTTAATTACAGTTTATAATATCTAAAACAACGGTCATTTCGTATGACCGCCGGGCTTTCAAGTGTATGTATACCAAAAAGTATTAGTTTATATATTTTTTAAAAATATTTATAATGATATATTTTATATAAATACCAAATCTTCTCATAATTACACACATCACTTCACAGTTCAGTTAGCAATTCATCTGTAATCATTGCCAAGCATAATGCCAACATAAAAGTTTACCATGTTTTTTTGTATTCAGTTACTAATATTTAAAAAAAAAAAAGTGTTTAGACATATCTGTGTAAGTCACTTTTTAAGCTGCCATATGATAATAGTCATGCAGAGATAAAAGCAAAAATTAATAAATAATGATTAACTAAGTTGGCTTCAGAGATATAAATTATTTAGTAGGTATAAAATCAACAGTGTTTAAATATAGAGTGTTCTGGTTTGAGATGTATACCAAGCAAAGAGGCCATTACGTAGCCATATAAGTAAATAAATTTGAATTGAGATTTAACAATAAACCTTCGAACCCTAATCTGAACTCAAGGAAAAAAGTTACATCATGCAAAATTCATTCTAACCCACGCATTATCATTTCAAAGACTGACAAAAGTGGCCGGATATTCGTCATGGACAAAAACACACCAATGGTGTTGCTTCATTTTTAAAATGAAGGCCCATATAATTTGTTTTCTAAAAATCTTTCACCTCTAGACCTCTTAAAAATAAAAACTGCAGTTAAGTTTTCACAAATCCTTCTGACCTAACATAAAAAGTCTGCTTTTCCAAATTGTGCCATATTATATGCTTTACCTAAAATTCACAAAAGTGGTATTTTATTCTTCCCTATTATATTTGTACCCATTAGCTACGCATGTAGTTTCTAGATTTTTCAATTTGTTAGTTAATATCACATACTCCATAAAATCCAATAAATTTATAAAAAAAAAGTAAAATTCATTTATCCTAGAAATTTCTTCTTTTCTTTTCTTTTCTTTTTTTTTTTAAATGTAAAATCATAATTCCCCCGGTGCTCTAGTGGAAGGTGCACTTAAATGTCTAGAAATGAGAGTTAAAGAATTTCATTTCTCCTGAATTGAAATTGATAAGATAATTTCCCTTACTCAACTCTTTCTGAAACAAACACATTTTGTTTTTCAAAATAAGTATTGCAACCAAACTGAGGGATTAGCCATGGGAAGCCCTCTTACTCCTTCCTATCTTTGCTGATATCTATATTTATTATTATGAATCAAAATTATTTGAAATTTTAAACTTCCCTTTATGGTTCTGCTATGATGAAGATGCATTTACCCTTTTTGGTAAACATCATCATCATCATAGCAAGATAAAGGTAATAAAGATGATTTTAAAAAAAAGTTCTGTCAGTGATGAATTCTACCGATCCTGCTATTCAGTTTATTTTTGAACTTGAGATATCTACTCTTTTTTTGTTCCTTGACATCTTGATCATATGCAACATATCCAACTTCGGTACTACTATTTACCTTAAACCTTCATCTGTTTACCTTCCATCACACTTTATATTATGTCATTCAGCTACACAGTTAGCTTCAATTTAGTCCTTTGTTTTCTGTGCATTTTTAAGTTTATCCCTCCAAATCGCCTCTTGATCAGAACTAACTACTTTAAGGCAGCTGCTATTGGCAGAGGCTTTTCATGTGACATTTATTGACCAAAGTGGTTAAAAAATTCTTATCTCAACGCATCAGAAAGCACCCTCTCGTTTTAGGAGATTAGAAGAATTCTGTTGTCATGCCTTTCTTTCCATCGATTAGCTATAAAATTACATGTATTTTATGGAAATTTAATTTTCGAGTCTTTCTCTTTTGTCAATAAAATTCGCAGTTGCATATGTAGGAACTTCATTTTGGATATGAACTCCTGGTGTATATACAGGATTCCTTGTCAATGTGGTTTAATTTACATTAAGAGAGCCTTAAAATTTCACACTAAGGAACACAAGGTATATGCTAAGGAAGAATAAACACATAAATCCTCTGTTGCTTAGTGCTGTTTGTCAGAAAATCCACATTTTCCATTTTTCGACAGCTAAAATTATTTAAAAACATCTTCTGTTGGTGAATTAGAATTTTATTAGAGACATTTCACGTTCACAAAAATCCTTCAGTTCTAGTTAATGATCCCACTTCCAGTCCATCTTTGCCCTCAGCTTTTCAGGAAATTATTTCATAGCTGTTTTAATTTTTCATCAAGAAATGGTGCCAGCAGCTTGACTTCCTGTCATTCTTATCACACTATCTTATCTTATCCTTGGCTTCTCTTTTTTTATTTGTATTTCTGCAACTGGAGAAGAAGGTTCTATATTTAAACCTTTGAAACTAGTCCTGCAAATTTTTTAATATTACTCTAATTCTTATTGCTTTAACTCCTCCAATAATCATTATTCAGCATGGGATTTTTAATTCAGATGTTTAATTAAATGAAAGTATGGATGAGTAAATTATTAGCGTCTTGCTTATTGAATTTGAAGCCAAATATTGGTGGAGAAAAATGTTTATCTTCTTTTGCTCATAAATTTTAAATTGGTATTAGATAAATTCTAAATTTGAGGGTAGTAAATGTGGTAATTTTTTTCCCTTCTATTTATTATTAGTAGCAGTTTTCTGGAAAAGGGGTGTCTTAACCATAAAATAAAGAATTAAAAACTAAAGTTAATGTGATTTTGCATGTTTTGCAGTATGAATTCTGAATGCATTATGACCTTTTTTTTTTTGATATTTTGTCTTCTATATCATTTTTCTCCTACATATTATATAAATATAATTTCATGTTATATCATTATGCTATTAGTAGGAGAAATTAATTCATGTAAAGTAAAATTGTTTTGATTAAAACACATTTAATTGACAAAATTTTCAAATTACTTTTTTGTAAATCCAAAACTTTAATGTAATGGATATTTCTTATTAGAAGGAATGTGTTTGAATTATTTTATTCAAGAATATCAGTTCATGAACATTCGTGAATCATACACATATGATCAAAGTTAATATCTCTTATTCATGATCGTTTATGAATGTCAATTTGTGAATGGGAAGAAAAGTCTGTAAGAGTTATTATAATTTTAGCACTATGAATGCAAGATATAACTCTGAGTCTTCGGTTTCATGATTGTTCAAAGTAGTTGAACTTCCTCATATCATATGTCGAATGCAGGGACGTAGCTAGAGTTTCCAGTGCCCAGAAAGAAGTTGTGCCCCTTTCTGTGTGCCAAGAATAGAAAACATTTCTTTAAAAATTTCTTAACATCAATTTGGCGCCCTTTGGATGCTGCACCCAGGGACAGATGTCCCTCCTTGCCCCACCCTTCTACACCACTGGTCAAATGTTGGATTACAGGTTTCATTTCCAACCAGTTAGGAAATAGTTTGATATATTTGTTATTTGACATGTTTTTATTAATATGTAATAATATTAAAAATTGAGGACATTTTTATTATTCTTTTGTCAAATTTAGTTAGCTTTTGCATAAAAATGTTGCTTAGTTTAAAAAGGAATTTTTGTAATTAAAACAATAAACAAACTAATTCTGACTTTTTTTGATATAATGTACTTCATAAATGTTCTTTACTTCTTAATTTTTAGATATTGTTTTATATAAAAGATTACAATAAATGTATGTATGTCATTTTGTTTTATTTCATGAGTGGTGTAATTATTTTCTTCTTTAGCTTTATATATCTTGGTGTGATAAGCCAACTTTAAATGAAGTAAGCATTTCTAAACTTTTCTTCTTTTTCAATAATATTTTAATCTAGAAATAAAAGTAGAGTTTAAAATGTATTATTGAAGAATATATGTATTCTAACTATAGCTCCAAATACTGATAATTAAAAATGTCTTTTATTAATTAAAGTAATAATTTTGTAGAATTTTATTTGTGAAAATACATAGAGGATAAAGAATAGAATCGTATGACAACATTCCAAGTAGATAAATTGTTGAAATAAAGGCTCATTATTGTAATGGATATTAGGACTAAGAAAGCAGTGCAATTGAACAGCTTGTTAAACAGATTTGTTGTGAAGAGAAAATTTTGATAACAGATAGTAAAACCACATTAATTTAATTTCATTTATCTGAAATCCGGAGGAAAACAAAAAGTCTCGGTATATTTTATGCACAAAAAGTGATCTGCAAAATAAATCTCTGTTCACTAGCTGTACCATCACTGCTGGATTTCATCAATTAAAATTCAAGTAACACGAAAAGATGTGCTTTGAAGTTGCCAAAAGCAAAATTATTGCCTATAAATGATGAAAAATTTTTGTGAAACATCTGAAGGGAATTTACCATTTTGTAAGTAACTTATTAGTGGCCAATCATTGCTGTTACTAGTGCTTAAGAAGATTTCAGAAAGTAAAATTGTACATTCATATTTCTAATGCGAAAAGGGGAAAATATTTCCTGTAGTAATGGGCATGTAGCAATGAAAGGACTTGTTTTAGCTTGTGCAGATGGTTACCTGATATGTCAGTGAAGGAAAGAAAAATACCAGAATCACAAGCTGTATGTAGTCTGCAGTTTGCCACCACTGCTGTATATCATTCCATATGTATTCTGTGGGATTGAGGTCAAAGATCATGTAACAAAGAGATCATGTAATGATCATTCATGTATGATCATTTAACGGTTCATTCAGAATGCAATAAATTATATTTTCAAAACATTGTGTAATTTATCTTTGCAATGTTGAATTATTATATTGGTAACAGCAGGTCTCATTGAATAATAGCATCTTAATTATTTGAAGCTTAAGATATATGTTTACTTTTTAAAATCAATGATTTGGGGGTTCTTGAATTATGGCCTCCCTATGATTGCAATATCCACAGTCTCATAAATATACCTTTGTGGTTTCATTCATGCTCTAGAACATGAGAAATCAGTAGCCCATAATCATCAGGGATGTCAAAGTAGACTTTTTGGTTAATAGTGATGCCTAGCATAACCAGTGAATGCCACAGAGTTATGCCATGTCTGTGCTATGTGTTATCTCATGCCAATGCGAAATTTATTAATCGGAATAGTACACACCAATAAATACCATTCCAATGGCTATCAACTCACTGACACAAGACCATTAGATATATAACTAGATTTATTAGTACAAAGAGCTTATTTTCATTGCTGTGATATGTGAGAAAGATGATCATTGCATCACACCAGGTTTGAGAACAGATGTGAGACTTACTCATAATTATACTGCTACAGAATCCCATGGAATGAAGTTCCTTTTGAGTGGTATGTTTTCAGTATTGTTTTTCACTTCTGTGCTGAGATGCTGCGTTATATTTTATTGTGATGTATTTTGATGTCATTTCTTTTTATCCTGTATATCTGTTTTTATTGGCTGAGATATGTTGCACTTCTTTCAGCAATGCACTACATCAAAAACCTTAGGGTATGCTTAAACATTTTACATTACCCTAATACAACAGCCTACATTCACAGGTAGGTGCATTCCAAGCATAGGTGATAAAGGCAACTTTAAAGATTGTCAATTTTTTTAGGCTACTAGCTCATGAGCAACAAATAAGTAAAGATATATTTTGCTCTGAATTATTAGTACATTTAATTCATACCAGATGTCAATGCTACTGATCACTAAAGGCACATAAATCCTGGAGCTGGGCCTGGTTACATTCACACATTTCTCAAGAGTGATCCAGATTTCCAACTGAAAGGCACAACAGACCAATGCATTTTGTTTCAAAAGAGCTGACAGCCAAATTCCTCTCTAATAGTGTGCTTAAAAAACATGTTAAATTTCATATAATTTTATTTTATTGCCATATACACAGTCCTGAATATTTTTTCTGAAAGAATAATTTCTGATTATGAAGAGATAAAAAATGTAAGCTGTTTATTTATTGAATATTTTTCTGTAATGCTAGATTTATGAGTATTTTGTTAATTTTATATGCTGAATTTTTTTGTTTACTATTTAATGTTCCTCTACCACTATGCATATATGTTTTTACTTTTTTAAGGTAACTAAACCTCGATATGGTTCATCTCTTCCATGGCCTGTTAATCATATTCTTTGCTGGCAAACAAAGTATGAAGTTAAAAAGAAATTAAAAACAGCTGATTGGCAATCAAAGTCATTAGAAGAGGTAATTGTGCTTTTATATAATATGAATAAAGCACTGCTATAGTTTTCTTGTATTTATAGAATTCTACTGCTGTATTTCTAGATATTACTTATTAATCTATGGCTGTTAGGCAGATAGCTGCATTCATCAATGCAAAGGACTCATTACTGCTGCTTTAATGCAGGGGTTTTCAAAAAAAAAGTAACATAGTGCAGTAGTATAGCACAGAATTGTATGGCTGTGCAATGAAAATAAATAAATGAAGAATATATAAATACATAAAATAGGTACAGTCAAAAGTCGTTAATCCGGACCTCAAATCTACAAACTTTCTGCGCATGCGTCAACGCATAATGCGTTGCCGCATGCGCGTTTATACACGTGCATAATACTTTTACGCATGCGCATGTGCATTTAATGTATAACGGACAGTATAAGCTAAGCTAAAATTATCGATTTCGGTTAATGTTGCAGATTGCGTTGTTCCTTAATCTTTGAATTGGATCTGGCTTATTACTTTTTGCAGACTGTTAGAGCAATTTTATAAAAGAAAGCTTGAACTTTCAATTATGTCAAATAGAATTTCCGATATATATATTTACTAATATGTAAAAGATCTACAAAGCAAAAGTATGTTTCGATGCCCATCGAACAAAAAGTGGAATTGCTGCAAAAAATGGATAAAGGCATATCCTTTGTTTCTCTAACCATTCTGAAATCCGTTTATCAATTTCACGCTGCTCGGGGGGGGGGGGGGGGCGTCGCGGCCCGCAATGAACTGGAAGTTGATCTGTCAGCGCTATCCTTATCTTCAGGGCAGATGTTTTTATTTTATTCAGCTTATAATTCCTTTACTAAATGTAGTATTTCATCTCGATGTATTCCGTCTTTGATATGATTTAAATCAAATTCCTCGTCATTATAAATATCACGAGTACACATCAAATAGTTTTCTGGTTGCAATTTTCTACTTTCGACTATGCATATTGTATGCTTTATGCATGCACGTGTTGAAAGAAATGTTTAATAAAGTAAGCAAATAAATATTAAGCTTTTGTTTTTTTTGTAAATTTTGATGCCCTTTAGATCATAATTGCTCTTTATTTCATAAATTACAGTTTTTATTTTTTTAATTGTATAATTTCTGCATGCCATCTTACCAGATTTAAATTGATGATCTATAATCCGGAAAAACCCCTAATCCGGAATCACCGACGCCCCATCGAGTCCGGATTACAGACTTTGTACTGTAGTTTCAGTATCATCTGTGAGACAAAAAATCGTTAGGTCTTTCTTTTCATTTTTCATAAGAATATGTTCAGCTTCTTACTAAATATATAAATATTCTCTTCTTTTCCATGCAGGCTAATATTAAGATGCTTAAATAGTATATCAGCTATGTATGCAACTTTTAAACACTATATTTCATTGTTAATGAGGGTAGCAGACAGGTTTTCTGGGATAAATATGCTAATGGATTGTATTATATTATTTAGATAATGACATAGAACTCAAGGCTACCTATTATAGGCTTATGTGCCTATAATAGGGATACCTTCATCAAGAGCTCTGTAAAGGAAACTGCCTCATATCTGCATTACCTCTGTGAAATTCTAGTCTGAGATGTCTAGTTTTAATGCTTTGTTCATCTGAGTCCATTACACTTGAGTTTACTTACAGTTTCTGCTTCCTAGCACTTGATTTTGGGAAGTATAATTTTAATACAGTTAATCACTGCAACAGTTGATTAAATTACACTCTCTTTAGGGTTTAAAAAAAATAATTAGTGAATTTAGTGTTAGGGATATCCTACATTAATCTTCAAATTAAGCAATTCATTTGCTGGTTATTATTGGTAAATCATTTTTTTGCTAGGTAACCATCATATAATTGTAGATGTTTAATCCTGTTGATACCAGAAGAAATTTATACATATTAAGATTTGTTCAACAAGAAATGCTCCATCTAAAAACCTCATCTGGCTTAATACTTGGCATTTTTGTCTTACGTGTATGATTCAAAGAAATGAGAAATAGAAACGTTTGACAAAATACTTTTATTATCTCAGTGCTCATAATCTCCTAATATGGTTTTAACTATTTCTTTGCAAGCAGGTAAAATCTAAGTTTCTATTGCTGCATGTGACTGCATCCTCGTAGCAATTATTTTTGCTATTTTATATCTAACTGCTTGCACTTTCCCTACAATTGTTATTTTATTTATTACCTTGGCTTGTTTTATTTGATAGCAAACAACTGAAATATACTTTATCTTTGTTTGGTAAATTATTATTATTTTTTTAATTTTAAGTGTGTCTCCAATTCCATTCATTGCTTAGTTTTTCACTGGATATACCACATTCAGTCAGTTTATGATTTCTAGGTTCATGGACATAAATCTAAAATTCGAATTAGAATTATGGATACTTTCACACATAATTAGAAGCTGATCTTCTATGGGAAAGTTCTTTGGTATTAATGTTTTACCTGGGTAAATCACATTCTTTATTTTCACTATGATGCTCTTTACTGCTACTTAATCATTGCTGTTTAACTAAAAGCTACTTCATTTTCCACAAAAGTTTTTTATAAAAACCAAATATTGTGACCTTGCAAAATATTTGATGTTTCTACAAACAACTCTTTCAACAGTCAACTACAAAGCATTTGGCTGGTTTATTTATGATTTCCTAGAGTTTGGGACTAATTGATATCTGGTTTTCATATTCTTTGCCTGATCTGTTAATCCTGCAACCGAATGTTCAAAGTCCTAATGTAGACAAATAATGTAAATTAATGTTATTTCCTTTACCCTCTGAATATTTCACAGTATTTTCGTAATGAAAGAGGGTGGTACAAGACAGAAATATTTGAGAAACCCTAATATGATATCAGAAGGCTAGAAATGACGTTTTTTATGAACTACATGTTTGCAGTAGTGATTCTGCAAAACTGAGAAACTTAAACAGTTAAACTTCAATGTTGTGTTCACAGTGCTGTAACTGGAAACTTGAGGGCCCTGGAGTTACAGATGATAATGTCCACGCCCCTGTTTATTACTTTTATCAAGCTTAATAACTTTTTCCCATAGGTGTGGCTGCTCATTTTTGTAATAATTAAAGTAGCTTTATACACTTTAATCGAATGAAATTTCTTTCAAAAAATGTCTCGTTAATCTGTACTACAATAAATTATATATTTTTTATTTCTCTTTAATTCTGTTCAGATTTAAAGAATATGATATCCACAGCTATTAAACATTATACAGAATGTAATATGAAACAAAACAAAAACATAAACAAAAAAAGTATAATGAAGGTAAATGTTTACTAGCAAATTATTTTGCGTATACTTTATTTTTAAACTTGGAATGAAAAATCTCTCTTTTCTAACCATTAAGAAAATAAACTCATTAATTATTTTATCAAGATTATTTCTTTGTGCTCAGTTATTCTCAATTAAGAATAAAGCTAAACTGTCAAGCCTAGCTGTTCCTTTCCCATATTGTTTCGCAAATAGTTTATTATTATTTTCAATTTTGAGAACAATTGTTCAGCCTTAGCTAGAGTCACAGAAACGTGTAAGTACATGATGTATGCTTTGCACACAGCAGGAAAATTCAAATAAAAGTAAATTGTGATTTATTATGCACAATTCTGGTGATCCATTTGATGCTATTAATTTATATAATTTTCTAATTATGTGTGAAAGTATCCATAATTCTAATCCATTTAATGCTATTAATTTAATATAAGCTTCTTTGAATGACGCCCTAACTAAAGATAACTAGGAGGATGGAAATGCTGATAGTATAGCCTTTGGAAACTTTCACACAGAAACAGCTGCATTGTGATGAATCCTTTTTTCATTTGCTTTCGTACAAAATTTGGATTATTATTCACTGGGTAAACATCAGGAACAGTCTTCATGCTTCTTTGGAAACAATGATGAAGCTGTATGCATAAAATACCTATGAATGGGTAAAACACTATCTTAAAACATAATTCTGGATCTTTTAATTGCTCATATTTGCATAATTCATCATAATGTTTTTTCAAATTTAGTAACCACACTTCAAGAAAATTAACTATTCTTCAAGGCTGAGAGATCCCTGATGTGACAGACATCAGATCTCCAGATTTCAGTAATTTTCAGCAAAGGCTTTGAAACAATATTTAGAAATTCTTAAAATTTTACACTGGTCAAGTAAGAGTAGGACAAAGTCAAATGTTTCCAGTTTTTCAATAGTTGTATCACATCATTTCTTTCCATCCTTTATTTGCTAGTCAGAATTATGCAGTTGAGGCATTTCATCGCATAACCAAACCTATGCCTTTAAGGTGGTAACGGCATCATGTATACCAGTTGAGTAGGAAGTAGGGTTGACAAAATTTGGTTAGTCATTGATGCATTCACTGGTATCATTCTTTATTTAATTAGAAATAAACTTTATTTCTAACTAGATTAAACAGTGTAACAGTTATAATGAATATAAAATTAAAAACTTGTAAACTGGTAATATATATATATATATATGATGTACCAGCTTTAGTCGTAGCTTAAATTATCAGACAATAAGTTTAAAAAAAAAACAGGATCCATTTATTATTATTCAGGAGAAATAGCAGTTACAAAATCAGATATCCGGATAAATAAAAAGAATTACTAATAACTTTTTTGTATGAAGTTTACTGCATCGTGACATTTAAGAAAAATGCCCCGATATTCCTTTGCGAGTCCTTTTATAGCCTCTGGAAAGGTGGAGCTCCAAGAAATGACGTTAGCCAATCCAGTTCGCTTTAATATTTCCAGAACATTCTATACTGTACGGTAATAAAGGCGGGAAAAACAACTTGACTACGGGGGCTGTGGATTTAATTCCACGTACTTTCAAATAAGAGACCGTCGCCATTAAAAATGAAAAGAACATACAGTTAGAACTTTAAATGTATTTTTTACTATGGAATTTTATTATTACATATATGTATTTTTACATTTTTAATCAGAGCTCAAAATCATTGA